GACTTTCCAGCAAGCGCTGTTGAGGGACATGGGCTGCTTGCTGGCTCTTGCGGGTTCCAGTAAGCCGGTAATACAGTGTTGTCCGAGGAACTCCATAGATCTCTACCGCAGCAGGGACCCCCCCTTCCAGGCCACCCTGAATGGCTTTGATGGCTTGTTGAATCAACTCTTCATGATGGTCGTGAGCACGAGGTTTCGTTCTACCCATGGTTTGGTTTGCGGCTTGCAGGTTGTTTACTTCACACTACAAGCGGGGTATCTCTATGTTGTCTTGTCTTTTCTGAGACACAAAAAGCAAATCCCGCATCCCTGCGACATCCCGGTTCCCCGTAGTTGACGTTACCAGTAGAAGGTGCGAAATTAACTTAGGTCTGATAGGGAGAAAAAATCTGTTGCGATGGTCGGGTAACCCCTGTTCAGCCTCGCTGAACTTAAGCCATCGCAAGGCCGCGAGATCCACAACACAACTCCTTGAACCCAACCCGACGAAAGAATCCGGATAAACCCAAACAACCCCGGACCCAACGGAATTCTTGGTCTTTACTGCAGTTTGTTGCCAAGATAACGTATGGCTCGTTGCTGTGTGCTTACGGATGGACCGGAAGTGACAGCTGCCGCATGGTGACGGTTTCCCGATGCGGGACTCTGAGGTGTCGTACAGAGCGCGAGTCACTTCCTGCAGACCCGATTCGGAATACAATTTCTTTTCCGCGGAGTTGGTTAAACTTAATTCCGTGGACTGATACCTCCGATATCTTAAGCGAACCCGTTGTTCCCTCTTTTCTATCCTTTATGGTAACATCTCCCATCTTGCTCTTGTATATCTGTCACAGGGCTCTTTTGTTAAGAAAATATAGTATGTTCTTCAAAAGAAAGCTAAGGCGACAGGTTCCTGGGATATGGGCGAAACTAGTACCTGTCCCCTTTTGGACGGTCTGATAGGGCTACGGAAGAATTATTTCTTATTGCTGGTCGCGAGAGTCTCCTCAGGGAGCTCGAGCTTTAGAGGAAAAAAAGGGACTTGCACGCCCTGGAACTCCGGGCCCTCCTGAGACTTCAATCCGTTCGATTTCCCTCTAGCATGGGGTCTGGAGGCGTCGTGATAGTCCGGGAACTACCCGGGTGAGAATGATCTCGATAGGGTTCGAGATATCCTGGGATGTGACTTTATATTTTCCCCCGGGCTTTGTTAGAGGGCTTGCGCTCTATGATTGATTCTTGGGACTATGCTAAGGTTCGAATAGTGCATCGGTTAAATTTTGAGGATTAACAATAAATCCCGAGGCCGTGCAAGAGTCAGGCTTATTGGCGATTTCTCAATTGCACAATTCTTCTCATAGTAGCCTGCGGCGGCGATGATCTTGTCTTCTCGCATGCGATCAGGATTACTTGGTAGGCCAGATGTCTCTTCAATATAGAAGCCGTTGATCCTCGATCGGTTCCTAGTGTTTAGGGGCCGTTAAGCTTATGCACGGTTCCGAGACCACGCCTGCTGGGCTCCCTGATCAGCGGAGTGTGATCCCCACGCCATTTATACGATCGCTGTGGTCAGAGGTTGTTGTATCGCCTTATCGGGCTAACTGCGATAGTGCTAGGTTGGGTTCGCCAGCCGATACATAAGAAATAGGAGGGTTTTAGTTGCCATCTGCTTTTTATGTTCGGGGTGGGGTTGCCTTTGCCTGGGCCTTTGTAATGGTAACCGGGGCCGTATGTTGGACCTTTCCGGACATTGCTGCATATTTTATCTCGATTTCAAAGGCTCAGCGCAGGCGAATCTTGGAGTATCATGCGCCTGCCACCACCGATTCATTGCTGTTGGGGTCGGGGTGGGGATGGAACCGGGTGCCCGGAATTTCCCCTTTGGGTTTGCCGGAGCGGGGGAAGTGTTGGGCACCGGGAGGGGTTATTAGGATCCTCCCCACGATACTAGGGGAGGTGACTCAAATGTTCTATTTCGTAGGATTCTCAACCGTTACAGCTCCTAAAGGGCTGCAATCCGTGTTTCTCTGGAGCGCGGAACATAGCGCTCTAACTTAGATATGGTACTCGGGCTGTCGGGGGTCTGGACGCTTTCACCCACCTTGGATACCCAGCTTCGGACTTACCAGGACCATGGATGCCTGAAAGGGAGCTGCGAGAGGGTTGAGGAAAGGTCTCTTTCGAAAGTATCTTTCGTTCCGCCCACTATTTACTGGCCCGTCGCTCATAATGGCCGTGTTTTCTCCCGGCGCTTGCTCGCATCAAGTCATGGTATCTGTTGGATAGACGATACAGGCTCGTTTTATGCGGTGTAATGGGGGGGCTAATATTTCCCGCTCCACGTTGTTATTACACAGCTGATTCGGCACTATTGCAGTGGCAGACTTTGCTTCGGAATACAGCGGGCCCGGCTATTGGTCTTGTAGCTGTTCTACTGTGGGTGGCAAGGGCGGTTTGAGTGTTATTCAAGTCGACATCAGTACGGTTCACCACATGGCCATAGAAAGTATCCGGCACCTTGCCATTCATTAGGATACGACTTGGTATCGAGGCGGGTTCGGATACTTATAAGCAGCCAAGTGCTCTAGATGGCGAGAAGTCGGAGAAAACACTCACATTCGGAGAATACTTGCGCAAGTATAGTAGAATAACAATCGGTGCGTATCAGACCTCTCGCACGGATCTGGCTTGCAGATACTTTTTGTTTGCTACAAGTACACTATGTCCTCGCACCTTGAAGCTTTCAAATGAGAGCCACAGCCCCTAACTTTCCTGTGGATTGAGATGGCGGCGGTGGGCCGGTAAACTTCCACAAGTTTCGTGGGCTTAATGATTTCGTACCGCCGGCCATGCGACAAAAGATCATACCGCTCGCGCAAACAACATAGCAGCTAATGTGAGTATCGCAACGCTCATCCTCGATGCTCGCCTTCGGCCACAGTGACGAGAGCCCGGAGGCTTTCCCATTTGGGATGCTCAGCGCTCCCTCTACACTTCGAGCAGGAAGACCCTCACCCAGGTTTTGATATTTATTTGCGGAGGTCAGCCCTACAGGTGTGTTGCGCGTTATTGACATTGTATTTGTCACCGGGGACTTGGTCTAGTTCCGTGGGAATCGGATGTCTGTTTTTTTGGGACCTAGTACGCCTACGCTCCATTTCGCTACTGTTCTCATGTGCTGGTGGACGGCAGGCGGGCCTTTCTCGCTTTGCATGCATGCAGATGAGTTCGTCGGAGGTAGTAGGCGCACTGCATTGACTGATGGCGATCGCCGTGGGGGATCGGAGCCTGAGTGTTCTGGAACTGTAGCTTATGAGCTTATTCTCGTAAAAGACGGCAGTGGGGTAAGAAGCTTCTATTTTTCCAATTCCTCTCTTCGTCGCTCTGCCGGACGCCTTAGGTTGGCTCGGGCTGCGGCGAGGAAAATTGAGTGGTGCAAAGCAATTGCACTATTGGTAGTGAGTGAGTGTCAAGAGGTTTTCACGGTATTGATGTCCAATTGGTGGGCGTACCTGAGCGAATAGGGTAAATTGGATGAACAGGGGAAGCTGTAGAGTTCTGGTCGAAGCTAGGTCAAGTGGTGAGGGCCAGAGGGTGCTGATACCCCAGGCAGGTCACGTTTTTGTGGTACCTAGGTGCCTGTCGTCTCAAATATCTAAAAGCTTTCCACTCTCCCTCTCCTCTCCCAGTCTGGTTTTTTTTATTTATTTCTTCGATAGTATTTTTTGGATCTTGAGAAATTTGAACCATTGAAATTTCTCTCCATCGCCGCAAAATTGAATGTCCGTCTCGAGATAAACATTTAAGCTCACTTTCCCCCCCCCTGTCCCGAGCTCCTCAGATTCTCAGCACAACAGATACTTACACACCCGTCCAACTACTCACCCATCCTTCCACAAATACACTGCATCCCTCCAGCTATATATACTGATATACATCCTCGCACGACCGCGCGAACGGCAATGGCAGAGCGAACCATAGATAGTGGAGAGCATCGGCCGATGACAACGGACAGTGGCAAGGTACCGCTTAACGTTTTAAAGAAGTTCGTCGGAGACAACCCCAGAATATGCCGGCACCGCCCTCCTACCCTCGGCGGCATATACTGGACGGGTAAGCCGAAGTCGTTGGTGAACGATATAGATAAGAAGCGTCTCAACTCGACTCACAGTCTAAACACCAATAGGAAGAGGCGTCCATGGATTATAGTGGAGGAATTTCCCGATGGTCATGTTCTGGTGATGTATGTATTTATTTTCTTTTACCCGAATGTGGGGCTATAATATACCTGTAGGTAGTCGTACTAAGAGCTATAGGTCTTCAACAACGCAGGGGTACAAGGGGTGGGATGCAGTTGCGAAGGAACATCAACAATTCTTCCTCCCTATTTACCCAACTGCTTCGAATGATAGACCGGTGCTGAAGGTGAAAGAGGACTTTGAAAGGAGCTTTGTGGGGAAGAGCCTTTTATACCTCGGCATCGAAGTGGTCATTCATGCTTCTGAGCTGTATAATGAGCAGTGCCTGGGGTATCTAGACGAGAGCGCTGTATTGATAATAGGGGAGGAGAGAAGGCGCGTGCGAAAGGCGGAGCGAGCAGCTAGGTCGCGGGAGAAGCGGAAAGAGAGGCTCCCTAATAATACCGGTTGTGTCCAGGGGAATCGGGCCGATAGTGGGAATTGCCTCCATCCTGGTCCTGTTAGTGAGAGCTCTTCTGACGGTCTAGATTATCTAGGGGCCCCCGTTCGCCGAGGATTCACCAATGACTTGAGAATCCACTCAGCTGGTCGCGCAGACCGCCCGCGTCTCCCTGCAGGGAGTTTAGGTACTGAGCCTAATTACTCCCACATCCCTAGTCGGATCGGGTTTCCCCACGCTCGTCACAGCCAGGACCCTCGTGAGAACCACATCGGTCAGCAAAGCCACGATCTCCTTCAGGATAGCCGCTCTCGAACTCAGCTGCAGACCCGAGCCCATGGCTGGAATGAAAGTTCCTCCCTTCAACACTCTGCTCATCTGCAAACGCGTACGATTGTTCGATCCTCTGATCCGAGCCTTGACGATTGGGCCACTTTCACGGGTGTTTCAGGCGGACTGGGGGGCCCGGGGCAAGCTCGCTGCGGCTGTCAGAATAGGGAAAGGGGGAATAAAAATGGGAGCCAGAAGCGTCGGGAACGTGGTGAACGTCGCAAACTATTACAGGAGGGTTAGTGAGGATTCCCGGTGAAGGGTTTGGCAGGAGTTGGGGAGTTATTCTCATATCGGATTCGTCGCTGCCCGATCGACCGGGGGGGGCTTCTTTTTTACGGGCCAGAGGACTGGTATGGTGATTTGTCGTAATTCTTCAGTTTCGTCTTTTCCCCTAAGGGGGGGTGGTGCTGGAGAGTTCGGTATCTAGATTTTAGTTTGCTTCTTCGCTCCTGTTTATAGATGTCCCGGGAATTAGCTAGTTCCTTGACATGTCGGAATTTTCATATATTTCCACTTACCTTTTCATTCTCCCTCTCCCCTCAGCGTTCATTTGGTACGCTATTCGCGGCCGACCCCCATTACCTGCACCGTGGAGTTTCACTTCGAATCATCGAAACACAAAATAGTCGGAGTTCAACCGGAGAGGTGGACTCCTAAATCTTTGGCTTCTGGTTGGCTCTCAGGGTTAGAGATAGCTACAGCTCGGATTTGCTCCCGGCTGCTCGAGTACTGTAGCCGATATAAGTTTTCCAAGGTGGCTTTCCTGCACCGCCCAGCCCCTCTTAGTAGCGTTAGCGTGTGAGGAAGGGTACGTGAGATGCCAGCTGTTTGTTTTTTGCCTGGTTGTTCGGTTGTCCAGCTGTCCGCCTGCCTGCCTTCGGTCCATTGCACCATATGGCAAGGCCACCGCCTGCGAGCTTCTGGTGTTGTCGAGGAACATGACCTGTGTGCGGCGTTGTGTGTGCGTGCAGTGCGTTGCTGTACAGTATTGCACTATTAGGTATCAGAAGATGGTGTGAGTTGAAGTGTGACCCTGCTGGATAAGGTGCATATTCCAACAGGCGGTTGGTCGCCGGCATTGGATGTGGCTGTCGGACAAAGCAGGCGACGTTGCAGCGCAGGCGCTCACCTTAGGGCGCGCGCCTAGGCTTGTCAAACTCTATTTTTGGTTTGAGGAAATTGGATGCGCGGAAAGTGAATTATGCAGCCTAATCGGTCGCTGCCCTAATTTTTGGTGAAGGAGAAATAGATAGGTGTTTCGGGCTCTTGGCGAGGCGGCCGGGACAAATACATTTCTCCGTGGGATGGAGAAGCCCCCGGGGTTCCGTAGGTTTGCCTACATACCCAGTGTAGTACGGCCCTCGCACTCCTGCAATTGTCGGAATTCCTACTCCTAGCACTGTACTAGTACAGTGAGAACTCTAATACCAGTCACTGGGCGCCTTTGCCGGCAGGGTGTGGCACTTTCTTAACTGTTTATTGTTTTGGGCTGAGGCTGATGCGTCGGTTTTCGTAAAGATTTGTCACCCCCCCACCCAAGGGTGGGAATTTTGGGCATCTTAGGGCGAGACCAGAGTATTGGAGCTCCCGCAGTGTGTGCAAGAAATTGACTTCCTGCGATACTGGTAAGGGAGGGGGTCTGGTGTTGTGGTTGCCTCATCATGTTTTTGGGTTCCGGCGTTGGGGTGGTGCCTGCTGGGAAGTACTTGTACAGTAAAGACTCTTGGAGTCCACTATCTCCAGCCACCCTGCTAATCTCCGGATTCTGAGTCAAAGGATCCTGAAAAAGATTTTGTTTTCCCCGAGCGGTAACGCCACAGCATCCAGGGTTTATTGGATCTCATTAACCGGTATTCCCAATTCGGTTAACCTGTCGGACTAAACTTATTGTGAGTGAAACAGAGATCAGCGCCTACTACAGAGATAGTAGATTCCAAGAGTCTTTTACGGTACAGTAGAAAGGTAGAGCGCATGTCGGAAGACCAGTAGACTGCGTTGGAAAGTGAGCTATGGGCACTTGTGTTTTGCCACGGCTAGTTGTATTTGTTAGCAGATCTCCCAGGGCAAGCGTGGGTGTGGAGGCACAATACCAACAATGGATATGGATTCCATCCATAGCGGAGGCGCCACCTCTGTTTGCTTCTCTAGCAGAAGTCCCATCTGGAGCGGGGAATCGTCCCCTAATATATATATCTGTAAAAGGCCATGCATGGCAGGATCAGTGAGCCCACTATATAGCGAGAGTGCCCATACAAATGATTCTTATCTATTTTTACGGAGATTCTATTGGGATTCGGGTTCCGAGGGGAGGCGCTATATGCACCTCGCCGAACATGCTTGAGCACCGTTGTGGAAGTGGATTGATAATGAGGCTGCTGGAGGAATTGTATGGTAGTGCGATGAGGTATTTGAAATAGAGCTTTTGCGCGCGGTGAGCCTTGCAATGTGTGCTGTGAAGCTATTGGGCCTGGGGGGCTCCAGTAGATAGGCAATTCGGGAACCTGGATACCTCGGTAATTTCTTGTTAGAAGGCAGCCTTGCGTCTTTGGATCTTATTCGTCCGTCGGGGCTTGTGGACCCTGGCAGCTTTCCGCAGCCCCCCAGACACCACCAATTGGATGTGATTGTATCATACCGTAGAATCTTCGATTGAAAAGTGCATCCTTTGATGCGTTGTTGAAGAGTTGAGATCCGTGGTAACCCGGGTCGGTGTAACAGCGGGATTAGTTGCGCTTATATGTGAATCTTGTCCCCATCTGACATGATGATAGATTTGTTATGATATCATACTAGCCCGGAAATACCGCAGTAAAGCCGAGAATGGAATATATTCTGAAAAGGGGGGAAAGACGGACAGTGCTTGTAATCTCTCCTCTGAGATCATATCTCGTTAGCTTAATATTTTCCATCTGCCCCAAATCTGGACCGATATCTCTTGCGACCCGCCCAAGTAACCAACCTTATCACTTTTTGCCACGTCTTGCTCGTCGGTAGTATGAACAATCGATGGAAATTTTAATGAAGGGAGATTGCTGTGGTTGTTTCAACTTTGTATGGGTATATAGGGCGTTTCGGGAATTTACCCGTATTAGTTTAATTCTCACCCGATGTCTGTGCAGGGAAAGATTACAAATCGCAAAATATTGCGGGATTTTTTTTATTTAAAAAATAAGTCCATATTTTTGTTGCGTGCCGAAGCTGAGATGGCTGCGTCAATTAAATTTATCGGAAATCTCACCACCCATCTCGCGGCCTAAGACAGCCCATGGTCTTGGGCTGCTCCTGTTTTTCTCATTTGTTCTCCGTATACCTGTAGTAACTAGCATCCTGAAGTGTGCACATCAGCGAAGTTCTAGTAATGGACCACCGGTACTGGAGTAGAGTGTTGCTTACTGGTGGTCACACGGGTGACAAGAAATTTTTAAGTTTCCTTTGGTCCCGGAGCTCACCTTGTCCTCGAAAACGAACCAAGGGATAGGTTTAGTTTGGCATGTTAGCAGAATTGCGAGCAGCGGTTAGTGAGATCAGACACACGTAGCCGGCTGAGCTCTTTACAATATTAGGGAAACGCTAATCCTTCTCAGGGTGCTGCTAAAGAGATAGTGGATGTCCTGAGATTTTACGGTATTATTGTATCTGTTATCAGAACCAAGGACAGTGGATCAGGGCTGATGGCTCTATCGCGGCATCATGGCCATATCCGGGGAATTGCTTCCAACAAGGGGAAGGAACACCATATAAACCTACGTTCATCTGGCTCTAATAACCCCCTCTTAACTTTGCCGAAAGTTGCAATAGAAATTGAGAATTTAACTCAATAGTAGAACTAGTACCACAGAGGACGAAAAGTATTTTTTTTAAAAAAAAATATTATTTGCCTTGGAGAGGGGGGAAACGAAAAATTCAAAGTGTCTTATACATTCCCCGCAACCTGCCTGCTCTCATGGGCAAGACAGAAGGTTTTTTTTTTCTGGGCTGATCATAGCAATTCCTTTGCAGGGCTCACGTACCAGAGGCAGCACGGTGGGCTAGCCGTCTTGATGAGAAATCGGAAAGCCGAAGAAGGAAAAAGGGAAAGGGGGCGACCGTAATGGCAAATTTTGTGGATTAGAAATTGGGAAATACCTTGTATTGGGAATGAAAGGAACACTGGGGATATTCCTCTAATCTTCCCAAACAAGAATAGTACATGCCGGGGCAACGAAAATTAATCCCCCTAGCTAGCAAGAACTGTAATACAAGCTTGCAGAGATAGGGCGACAAGCACTACCCGTATACCGGAGACCGGTGAGGTGCATTGGGTTGTAATAATCCAAACAGAAAAAATGGTAAACATTGCAATGTCCGCACAATAATCCAGAACATGGCGGGGGATGAATGCCACCTCAACTCTGGGTAGAATATCCCTAAAATCACCATGAATCATGCCTGGACTTCCCTCGAAATATCCCTGTTTTCGCCTCTCAATGTTCGCCGACTGCTTCTCAAGGATGAGTAGCTTATGTTGCTGTCTGGCCAATTCCGCTGCGACCTCAACCAGCCTCGTTCTCTCGCCTGTCAACAAGGTACAATTCTCATGCTCGAGCGGCAAATTACCTGCCTGCATTGCCGAAATTCGGTCCTGTTGCTAATCAAACATCAAAGGAATTCTGAGCACAGCCCTGTGCCCGCATATGTCCAGCGGGTAAATCACAGCCCCTCTACGGCCGCTCACAATGAAGTTGGGTGTCTTGACATCATAGCCGCAAAATACACTTCTCAGTTAACAAATAGATTAGTTGCAACTACTGGAGTTTAGCCACCTACGGATCTTGATAGCATAATGGAAGTGCCAGTAGAAGATAGGGATTGGGACGGAAGAAGACACTATGCTAAGACAAACCGCGCTGGTAGAGAGACGGCAAAGGTAGCGATTGAGAAGATGAGTACCGCCGATGATGGAGTTGGCGGCACTGGAAAGAGCAACAGTATGAGTAAACAGAATGATAGAGAAGGGGCGGAAAGTAGGATCGAGGAGTGTTGGGAGACATGGAGGGTTATAAGGAAGCGGGTACTCGGGGTAAGCCTGTGTGTCCACTTCCCTGCCTAAATTTTCGTCGGGTTTTAGACGGTCTGTAGCAGTTTTTCCTGCCTTCGGAAAGAGCTAAGAAGCGACCCCTCCATCTCACATTATACTCAGTGTGGAAAATACTCTCGCCGGTCTGGGCCACAGGCTCCTACCCTGGAGGATCCAGTGCCGCAGGGTCATAGTGGATATAGCGAGTTTATAAGGTATTGCACCTATTACTCATCCAATACGCCTTTAGGGCCTGGGTATAGACAACGGGGGCAATAAAAAGGAGGTCATCCCTCCCGAACCCCAGCTTTTGCAAATAGTGTCCAAAATAAAAAGGTAAAGGCCCTCCCTTTGAAACCCCGATATATGGTATGATACCTGCATCGGAGGAATGAAAGGAAAAAAAAGGGACCATCTTTTGTTCTACAAAGTAAAAAAATCCCCACAACTAAAATCATACACCGTGAGTACTGAAATATATTCAGTGTTCCCAATCGCCCGGTCCCTCCGTTTTTGGGGTAGGGCGGGACCTACTATAACCTGTAGTCTGTCTTTTCTGCAGTGCCAGGACCGACTACCCCCGGGACTGGCAGGACTGGACGGACTACTAAGGACTGCCGTCCTACAGCCTGAAATCCTATGAACAAAAGGACCTTGTTAGCCACAATGTTTTAACCATTTCTGAGGTTGTTTGTGGTATAATATGTTGTTCCACACAATCTCCCGTAGTCCTTCACAGTCCCCGGCAGTCCCCTGCCGTCCATGGTAGTCCTCCGCTGTCCCTAGAAGTCCCCCACGGTCCGCCACGGTCCCCCTTACCCACCCTATTTCACTCTGTAAGGCCCACGGTCCTATCTAAAGATGGCCATCCTCCACTTTTACTCCCTGGGCGCTTGGGAGCGCTGAATCCATTAGACTACAATCATAGGCCCACTGGATCGGTTCCCGCTTGTGGTGTCCCCTTTGCCATCGCCCTGTCCCACTTGATGAACATGTCGAACCCTCCTTTTAACAAAATACCTGCCATAAAACAGTAGTCAGCACGGGATATCTTAGCATCTATTTTGTCCGTCTTTCTGTCGATCGTATATCCCACGTCCTTCGTGTCTCTCTTCAGCTCATTGGCTCTCTGTTCAACTCATCGAACGTCAGGTGGAGGTTTTCGCGCTGGACATTGGCAATGGCCACCGTGGTTTTAAGTTCGTTCATACCCCCTTTGATCTCGGCAATAGCCTAGCTAGTCATGAGCCTCATAAGGTACCTGCAGGGCATATCTCCAACGCCTACTTCACCAACGGCATGTCTTGGATCAGAGCCCGGATGAATGGAATATTCAGCGGTATTAGCTCCAGTAGACTGGACCATGGGTTAGTACAAACAAACAACAATTGCGACCATGGATTGATTTCCTTGAGTGGTAAAACAGTTCTCACGTCCACTATATCTATAGGGGGTGTGATTGCTTGGGTTGAGGCCAGCACTTCTGGTAACAACGAGTCTTGCGGGTCTAACGGGGCTGGTGATAGGCATCATTGAGGACGAATCCCGCTCATGGGAGAGTATGTGTTTGTGAGTTTGATGGTGGCACTTTATTGGTCAGTTGTAAAGAATTAAGGGATAGCACCCAAAATATGTTGGATGTGGTGTCTATTTACCCGCCCAAATCAAAAGTCTATCCCCGAGGTATAGCCGCGGGCGGCAACACAGCAACTGTTACCCCACCTCTGGCAGCCCCGATAACAGGAGAATTGAATTGATGGTTGTTGCTCATGAATTAGGTATTTCTAGAAAACAGGGTGTCTGGCGATGCCAAGGGGTTGTGAGAGGTGAGCCTCAATTTTTACAAGATGAGGTTCGGTCGTTTGCCCCTAGGGGAAAAGGTCGGGGGCAGACTTTTGATTTTGGCGAGTACTCCATGCATTCCCAAGCCCGCAGTATCCACTAACCCAGTTGTAGGTGGTGTTCGGTTTACCTGATCGATTTGGATATCCGTTAGAGCCGGGGGGGAAAGAGCGCCATGAACTCTACTTGGACAGGGCCCTGAGAGAAACGAGAACCCTATCTTCACCCTCACCGAAAGAAAAGATTTAGATCCACTTAAATTTCTCTCGATAACAAGCTACAACAATAGCAACGGCATGCCCGTCCAGAGCGGCCCCATAATTGCAGTTTTCACATGGGAAAGAAACATCGTCCCAGACAATACTGTATGGGTACTGTAACCCAACCAAGGTCCAGGTTAATTGCGCGCCATGCTACATCCCGCCCTTCTCACCTGCATCACGTAGAAATACCAGTTCCTTTTTCTTCAGGTCAACGACTGCGCAAGCTGCGATACCACTATAGTGGCTTCATTCCACCTATCATCACCAGCAATAGTTGCCACCGCCGATTAGCCGTTACCCATGCTCTTTTGGTGAAAGACTTACGATGGGGTCCGGTGGGTAGTGGAAAAAAATATAATAGCAGGGATCGAAGGGGAATTCCTGAATCTTGTGCGGCGAGTCCAAGGGCCGAAACAGGATTGAGAGCAATTGAGGTGAACGAGGAGGAACTTTGGGAAAGGAGGAAGACAATTCCACCTGTAAGGAGCATGATGACGGCGTTGAAACAAAGAGAGAAGAAGGTCGGAGTGCGGTGGTGCTGGTCCGGAATGGTGGTAAGCAGGCGGATGCCAAACCTACTTGGTGGCAAACTGCATTAACCGGGTTGGAGGGGTTTTTTTTGCAAAACAAATAGTTTAATTTCAAAATTGCGTTGCAAAAGGCGCGGCTTTCTTTTCCCCAATTTCTGACTTTCATCACAGGGCTTCGTTCTCACAACCTATATGCGTAACGTTGTTGTCCGGGGTAGGATGCTATTCTTACTCCTCTGTAATACGGAACTGACAATGATCGTACCCGGTTGCAGCAAGACCAATCCCCCGCTGCAGATATGGATTGAAATGGACTCAAGGGGGTTTCTATGCACTCTTCTGTGTCACTGGGTTTGGGCTCATCTCATGGCCATTCAGGGATTTCTATTTTCTTCTCCACAGGCAGAACGAGGTGACCGCGTTCATATTTGACCGCCACGACTTGCGGCCATAGTAGGGCCCTTGTCCATTAAACTCCTGGAGTATGTACAGTCGCAAATCTTCCAATGGAGACTTTAGCTGTTCCCGGAGAATAGTGGAGGGCTTGTACAGGACGAGGAAGAGGTTGCGGGGCGACTTGTTCTTGGCGATTCTTTGTATTATTTGGATGAAGTTAATTGCTGTGAAGAAGCCGCGTTAGGAGAAGTTAGTTATAGCTTCCGGCGGGTGGTATGGTGGGGTGCCGGAAGGTGAGGGCAATGGTGCGTCGGGTTCCTTTTGCTCGCACTGGAATTTGAGCATTGGTAGGGTGAGGATTCAACTGGTGAGGAGTCTAAGAATGAGTTTTTCGGGTTGGCTGGTGGTTTGGAATTTTGCTTGGGGTGGGGGGAGTGCAGAAGATAGAAGTTGAAGAATGACATATCCTTCCGGTCAGTCTTGGTGGTTATGGTTTAAATGATGTCCTATTGGTTGAGTAGCCTCAAGAAGGTAGTTAGAATCCAAGAGGAGCTCCTTCAGGTAATCCAACTTGAGCAGGTTTGTTAAGTTAAATGGTCTCTGATTAGTTCAAAGTTTCATACTAGCGAGTATTGCTAAAGTTTAAGAGAAACCCGAGATCATTTCTACATGCCCTCGAAGATGGCACTGATGGTTTTGCTAGTGATCTCCCTAATCCTGTGGACATCTACCTTGTCCAATCTTCTCTTCTCATTGGCTTTGCGCTTTGCGCCCTCCTTTTCATACCCCTTCTCTCACTCCTTTTTATGTTCTCGCTCTCTCCCCGTCTCCTTCCACCCATTTGACAACTGTTCTGATCTGTCCTAGCTAATTGTGTTTAGTTTCTCCCCCATCTCTATCAGCCCGAATCACTCCTGGGACTGCCCTTCCCAAGATATTCCAAGAACTCCGGACCGAGGGCCCAGCATAGTTAACTCTCCTTGTAGGAGAGTCAACATTTGCTGACTCTCTCGGACTATCGCCTTTACGATCTGGGCATTCGTTAGCTCCATCCGGTAACCTGACCAATTTACAGATACACTGCTTGCCTTCTTTATCTGCAAACGTGACATGTTGGAAATTTGGTGGGAGCAGCCGCATTGACGTTTGCATGGGCGCATTGAGATTTGCCTATATTATCATACTAACTAAAGAGATACAATTATTAAATCTCTGAAGGATTTATAACAATAGAATTTTAGTATTCTGCTGACCTCTGCATTCGCTAGGCGGATTCTTTCCCTTCGATCACGACTTCGTAAAGTATTCTTATTGACGGAGCTGCTGACCACATTTCCAGTGCAAGCTCTGGGTACAGGAGGGTTTGGTGGAATAGTTGAATTGTTAAATTCCATTTGATAAAAGGGAAATAATTAAATTATAGAGTAGAAAGTAATTAGAACATAATAATATTATGATATATAAAATCATAAATATAATACTGTACATATATTTAGAGTCACACAGAATCACCACAAAATGATTTGTCACCCATGATAACCCTGTAACCTAGCATTACAGGATGCATCGCTTCTGGTACACGCTTTAGATGCATCGCACAATACCAATACATGGTGAGGTAGCGAAAGGGTCCAGAGTGATAGTTCCGGGCAGACCGGAATACCAGCATCATCCGTTATCATACAGTAGGTATGAAAATATCATGATATTCCTGCTTGGGTCGAGAGGTCGGGTAGGAATAAGCGAGATGGCTTTATGGGTCAGTGCTCTACGCAAGTGAGGGAGGGGTGAAGAGAGTTGACCACGGCACGGTACAGCAGCTCCACGATCGGGAACCGCTGGCGATTCGAGATGCTCTTATCAACCTCAACTCACGCACGGGTATGCGTAGTGCTTGGGCAAGACTGGTTACATTGGGTGACCAATGCTTAACCTTCCTCTAACACGCTTTGGACTTGAATTGCCTCTCTGGGCACACTTGGTACCAGTAGTTGGACGCCACAGAAAACATTTTACGGTTTTTTCTTCCTCCCTCCTGTCCTTGGTGCCGCACCCACTCCCCCCACCCTTCCACCCCTCTTCTTCCCTTCCAAACAACTCCAAATAACCTACCTCCCACCACCGCCACCACCACCACCACCACCACCACCACTACCACCACACATCATACCCAGAACCCAACACCGACTCCTTCCCAGATTATGCCGACAGGTGAGCGTGAATTTCGTGGTTTGTTGAGTGTGTTTAAAGGCCCTCATGCCCCCTCTGCACTAGTATTAGAGGTTCCGCCTTGTGAGATAAGTGAGATTTGAGTGAACATACTAGTCGCAGCCTACTTCCTGAGATTGGAAAGGGGCAGCGGTTGAACTCTCCAGTTTTCTGCTGACCGACTCAATCAACCACCAAATATCAAAACGAACAGTCAATAAAAGAGTGAAGTACCCTAAACGATTATTGGGTAAATATTTTAGTTCATGCACCTCGTGGTCCAACAGGTCTGGGCGTGGGAGTGATTGTGGGTCTTTGGTATTCAACCGGCAACCTGTTCACTGTTAACATTATCTCCAAAAGCCCTCGATATCAGGAGGATCTGCCTAAAATCCCAAGGATATAAAGACATCACCAAAAAAAAAAGTTGAGCACAATATAATTGTACCTTCTCATCGCCCTCTCGATCGGATATCCTTTGCTTGAATGCAACCTCCGAGGGAAGGAGCCGGGCAAGGGTGGTGGTATCTCGAAAATAATCGTTCTCCGAGGAGTGTGGGAAAGGGGAGATGAAGTCAAGGAGAGAGTATGACTGGCTTAGAAGGCTCTGCGGGATGGAGAAAATATTGAAAGTCAAAACTGTGGGGTTTTCGTTTGCCAGGACTTGTCCCCGAGGGGTTGCCCTCATAACATGAGATGAATGGTATGATAGCCAGAGACTCATAGGGGACAGCGAGGAATTCAGGCTATTGGGATCGGAGATAGTGGGGTCTGACTACACTCGAGTAGAACTGTGGCCGTGTCCACAAACATCACCCGGTTACCGGTAGTCTAATCGATGCGTTAGGCACCAGCTGTGCTCTCTATATCACCGAGGCCGTAGCCCCTCCTATCGTGAACACCCCCATCTTCCCCCATCACCGCATCCGGGACAAACTCCGCCGTCCCCCCATATCACTGCATCTCCCCTGAACATCCTCATCTCCCCTTACCGCCCCACTTCTCCGCTAGTACCACCACCTCTCTGCACTTCCGTGATGTTTGTCATTAGAGCTGCTCGTGGTGTTCGTCGTTTCGCCCCTCATCTAAGAGGTTTTAACTTACAAACGGTAAGTGTTAATAGTTACTAAGAGGAGTTATCCATCTAGACATACTAGGGATGTCAGTACAAATCCAATGTTATCGATAGTGCGAGTGGTACTGATCCGGCTACTGGAAAACGCAGCGGTGGGCAACATGAGACTGGATCGGAACTTCCCCGCGAGGGATCTATCACTGCAAATGTCATAACTCTTAAGAAGGTTATGAACGAACAAACAAACCCCATCCCGAGTGAAAACCCTTACTGATCGGTTGGTAGAACGTTGATATATAGAAGGTAGAACTTCGGCACCTGAGTGAGCAGATGAGCTCACGCTTTAAGCAACTGAAAGACAAGGTTGGGGGGGTACGACAAAAGATAAGTGATTGGGCGCGCAGAATGGACGGCAAGTTTCACAGAACAGACCTCTGGATGATTTTTCTACTCACTCTTTAAGAGATTTTATGGTAAGGGTATCTAGATGGCAACTAACAAATATGCTATGTAGATTATCCTTAAAGGGGGCTACTGTATGCGGTATCGTGGGATCTTCCAAACCTCGCTACGGCTATGAGGTTGTGCTTAACCTCGTAAGCTATACTGTATAAACCCAAGGCACAGGGATTGTGAGTGTCAAAGATAGTGGATTTCACGAGATTTTACTGTCGTCTAGAGGTAAACCAGGATTTGTGCACAGCTTATCCGTTTCTTCCTTTTTTATTTTATCTACTATTTCCGTCCGTTCACTTCACTGCCGTTTTTTTTTCCATTTCGTCACTCCAGCCCCGTTTTCTTCCCTTTTCCCACTTCATCCCCGTTTTTATTTTTTTCCTTCGCTCACCCCCTCCCCTTTTTTATTTTTGTCTTTCCATTTCAAAGATAGTAGCTTGGTATTGGGACATTGGTGGGGAGGAGGGACTGCGAAAAACGAAGTCAACCTTAAATAGAATCTCATTCGATCCTCATATCCCGATACTGGACAATTATAGCCATACAAATGCTATAAACACAGGCATCCAAATTCAGGGCAGCCATCACTCCATACCAGTCCTCGTTTACAAGTCGCTTATTTCTTGTTTAAGAGTAAAACCCATGCGCTACTCATCCCTAGCCCAGGAATAAATGCAATAAGCCACTCCTTGCATATAACACATCTCGGAAAACAAATTCCCTGGGAGGAATCCACGCGAGGCTAAGCATGATTGCCCACCACTTCCCAGAATGGTTTCTTATTTGCCTTTTTTATTTACTTTTTATTTTCCTCTATTCCCTTTTCTGTTAGGACTCCCTTTTCAAAAGAGTAAAATCATTCTATACTAGCAGTCGTGGTGAGGTATTGGGCCAAGTACCGTAGGGCATGGCAGAGCGAATACAGGCTCAACGGTTGTTCCGCATAACTAATCCACGTCAAAGCTCCCATCTCTAGGCTACTCGTACATTTATACCTACCCTGTGCCATTATCCGTTCGATCGTTGCGCCGTAGAAATCCTCTTATCCCAACCCATCTGTCATGTGGCGGAGTCTTTCCCGTCTCCGGTGTATTGTAGGTTCTTGCAAGATTGCTTCGATATTTAAGGAAGCGAGCAGAAACCTAAATATCTATATTAGCCAGTAATGCGCGATTGGATTCTCAGCATCATGGCTGCTGCCCACATTGCTGATAAACCTCGGGGAGTCTTCCCTAGAATTTCTGCCTCTAGGTTCGAATCAATTTTTAACCGGCGAACAGCGCAACAGCGAAACAGCAACGATTAGTAAGGGTGCTAAAATAGAACTCTGCTCAGCAGAAAAGGGGGATACACGGGTGGAGGAAAATGGAAATGTGGGGTGAGCGGTGGAAGGATAGGAGGACGGTTTCGTTGATATCTACTTCTGTCTTTTACTCCAAGTTTGTTAGGTAGTAGTTGGGCGAGGGATCATAGAGCGAGAGGGGTATTGTGCGGAGATAGAGAATTGAGCGAGAAAATTTCCCCCACTTCTTCCTGTGTCCCTTCGAAGGCTCCCGTGCTATGATAACAAAAGAAATACAGGCACCACAAAGACGCCCACTACCAGCAGCCTCCGCTCCGGGCGGTTCCTTTGACCTCTGGACTGCCTCCCCTCCGGGTAGTCCCTTTGGCTACCGCTTAGGTATGGCTTCCGCTCCGTATAGTCTATTAAGCACCCTCTGTCACGAACTATCACTCGGCCAAAATAAAACGACAATTGCTGACCCAATACGATCGGAGAACTTAAGGGTGGGAAAACTCTGCTCTTCTTCGCTACCTCTCAACTAATTAATGGTAAAAGCGTGCAGTATATACCACCGACGACAATGACCTGCCATCCCCCACTGGTACGTTCCCCATTGGTGAGCAAACACAAGCTAACAAAGGAAGACAAAGGGAAGACAAACCTCGCCGACCTGCCTCCCCTTCTCGCCGGCCTTCTGCTTCGTTCCTTTGCCTTTTCGCTTTCCTTCCGTTGGGCGCACCGTTTTCCATCCAGCGGATTTCCACCACCGCGCACCGCTTTCCTTCCGTCGGATATACTGCTTCGAGACCCTAGTATATTCCCGCCGAACCGCGCCCACAGCCAAACCGTGCTCCCAGAAGAGCGTTCCCACAATCATCCGTGCGCACGACAAAAGCACCATCTTCAATGGCGTCAGACTCCTTCTCGATCTCATGAATTACGGCACCGAAGGAATCAGTGATATCATTACTATTCAGTACCCATTCAGCACTATTCTCTCAATACTACTGCGAGGACTATAAAAATTACATCAACGCGTAGCAAATCCAATCTGATGAGAAAGCAACGTAATTACGGGGTTGGCTAATCAGTTTCCTAACGTTGGTGCTGTGCGGGGAAGGTGCAAAACGGAAACTCAACACTCCCTCGCTAAAAACAATGGTATAGACGTTTACAGGATCCAGAAAGTCCGATGAGTTCTTATTTTGCACAAAAGAGCGGAAGCATACAAAATGGTAGGACCTGAAAAGCTCAACTTTCTCGCGAGTCTCTTGAACCCAAATATCCTCAAATGTGACAGGATGGATTGCAAAAGCCTTCATGAGCATAGCCAACCCTTCTGCAGTAGAATCGTAGCAGTCCAACCACCAGACGCCTTGCCTACCACGGAAGAGCTCGTGGAGCGTCTCACCATCGCGTGGGAGGTCGCCAATCTCTGGAGCGTGGATCATGGCATCCCCCTCGGATGAGAAAAAAACTGAATCGGTCAGGACGGCTCACACGCCTATGACGGGGAGTGGTCGGTGTGTTCCAAAACTCGGCGTTCTCATTATTGGTGGGTGACGTAGAGGATATGGGAGCCTCTTTCCCAACACTACCAGGAGCAGCGGACAGATCATCCTTGGCCTTGATTTGGTCAAAGTATCGGGACCCAATGATATCCCCACAAGTGCCGATTTTCCATCTCTCACAGGGCTTCGCGCGTGATTGATCAGCTACAAATTCATACCTCTCCTCAAAATCATTCCCACCCCCGATTTTGCTCTCGTCAGGAGTCCAGAAGCAAACCTCCTCCTCCGCAGTGGTCAGAGCCTCATCGCTAGAGCCCTTCGCAGCAGTTTGATCCTCAGTAAATGTTGGACGGCGTGATATAGCCCTGCGGAGGACTAAGGCAGATCCACGAGAACTTGAGAGCTGACGGTGGTGGAACGATCCTCACGGCGTCTCTGCTCTGGATTCGGGAATGCCTCGGCTGAGTTTTGGGGCGATGGCGACCTCGAGGAAGCGACCCAAGAAGAAGCGCGGGATGGAAATGGTAGGCCGTACTGACGGTCACCACAGTCATCAGGAGAAATGGCAGACCTATCGTCGCGTGTGTCGTCATCCAACATAGCCTGCTCGTAGTCTGTGTGAATCAGGCTATGGGTGTCCTAGATAATGAGCCAGCGATATGTCCGGACGGACACGAGCGTTCGACGATGTAGTGCCAGAGCCAGGAAAAGAATGCACCTGCAACCTGCGATCATCCAGCTCCGCCGCGGGGGGCATTGGTAAAGTGTGGCAACTTGAAACGTGGGTGTCCACTGCTGGTGCCTTCTCCCGGGGGCCGGTTCAGTAGAGACGGTGGAAATCCGGCACAAGCGATTGAGTAATAAAAAGCATCGTGGTCGTAAAAAAAATTATGCGAGATAAAGAGATAGCCGCTATGATGATGGTGATGATAAATCTACCGCAGAAAATGCATCAGTCCTCTTTGCTACCTTTCAATGAGTCGCCAAAGTCTCACAACAAATTTCCAGAAATCAGAATTCCAGCACCTGGGGCGAGCCACGAGGTGCGCTCACCACACTAGTTGCAATCAATTTGACAGCCTCGCGAGCTTGGAATCACCCTCAACAAGAGCAGAGGAAGGCAGGAGAGAGGACCTGGGTCAGAGAAGGAGCCGGAAGGTTTACCCAGCTGTAGGACCGAGGAATGTTTGGCGGTGTCATGGGCAGGAGCTATAAGCAGTGGTCCTTCATCCGATTGGCTGACCAGAGGGCCAGTTATGGAGGGTTCTTGGAGGCTCCAAGGACCCAGGATAGTGGACCGAGGTGGGGGAGAGCGAAGGAGAGCTTTGGAGAAATGGACCCCGCCAACTTGGTAGTCTGTGAGTTAAAAGGCCACGAAGGGCGAAATCAGCAGAGAACCTGAATGGAAATTGCTCTACTGCACCTGACGAGGGTGAAGCAGAGAGTGATTTCCCGGTGGATGGGAGGAAAGGTGATGTGTTTGGAGATGGTATCATAAGATATTCCTTTGTCCGGGGCCCTGAAGTAGCTTTGACCCTCGGAAATAGTTAGATAGTAAATGCGAAAGGGTGAAACCCAGGAAGTGATTAGATTTTTTTTTTTCATGATGAGGAGGCCAAAGCAGGGGGGGAACGGCTGGAAGAAGGGCAAGCTCGGTTAAGGAGTCGGTGTTGGGTTCCGGGCACGATGGGGGTGGGAGGTACGGGTTATTTGAAGTTGTTTGGAAGGGAAGAAGAGGCGTGGGAGGGTGGAAGGGTGGGGTGTGGGTGCGGAACCAAGGAAAGGAGGGGCGAAGAAAAAAACGTATAGTGCAAATCTAAAACCTTCACCTCAAAATGACCCAAATCCAAACTCAGATGGCTGCCCACACAGTCCGAATTTTACAAATAGCGAACCGCTGAGAGATAGCTGAGATCCAGCCCCAGGTACTAGCGGTTTTGTTCTTTGCAAGAAGTGAAAATTGAGAGGGCCTATTGAATGCACACTTCGATATTTTGAGTGGGCGTGAAACAAGTTCCCAGATATTCGCAGGGTGGGATACTAGGTAAAAATGATGTGTGCTTGGTTGAGTGGTAGGCTCACCATGTCATGAACTTGCCATTGCCGATGGAGGGCCTGGAGACTACCGTACTCGAGTAGATTATCTGGGCCGGGTCGCATCTTTTAGGATTGACAGAGGCTAAAGTGGGTCACTCGATTGGGATATTCTCGGGATAGAGGTTGCAACGGAGATTGTGGAGGAGGTTAGGAGGAGTGTGAGGAGGGAGTTGGGTCCACGTGTTCCGCCAGGATTACCCATAATAAGTTAGTGAAACTGGGGAGTGGATATAAAAAGTCGCCCCAGAAGGTACTGTACTAAGTACATGCTCAGGTATGAGCAACGTACTCGGTGAATGGGTGATTTCCCGTGCTGACGATTCAGACGGTTGTTAGAGTTAAGGCTGCACACCGGTTTTTGAACACTTTTGAGTTTAGCAAATACTCGTGCCAAGGTTGTGACTAAGCATCACAACCCCTGGTTGCTCACTGGCTCGCAACCTGGGCACTCCACCAGAGTGCTAGCTCAACATGACTTGCCAGCTCAACATGACTTGTAGCTCAACACAACTTTTTAGTGGCTCAATATAGCTTTTGTGTGGCTCAACACAACTTTTTTGTGGCTCAACATTACTTTTCATAACCTCACATAACTTTAAAGTACTAAGAAAATTTATAATTATAAATAACTTTGCAGTTCCAAATAATGTTTTTTATGTGGTAACCGACCATGATGGGGTAACCGGCCACCTCATCTACAATAACCTACCTCATTTGTCCTCCTGCAGAATCTTAACCACATGCAACAATACCAAAAGCAAGAGTAAGAACTGATTCAGACGATGAGAGCCGAATTCAGCATGCACTTGTTGCTCTCAAACATGAGCCTGCTCTTAGTATTCGAAGTGATGCACTAAAATATGGTGTTTCATGAACCACCCTATGTGACCGGCATTGCCATAAATCTCAGCTGTGAAATCAGGCTTATAAAAACCAACAATTGCTTACCAAGGAGAAGGAAAATGAAATGGTAGATTGGGTAAAGTGGTTAGATAACATAGGAATTCCACCAAGACTCTCATACTTGCCTGAAATGGCAGATGTGATAGTGAAAGGCTGACAAGAAGGGGAAAAGATGACTGCAGGAAAGCACTGGATATCAAGGTTTCTTGACAGATATATGGAAATTGCAAGCTGACTTGCAAGTTGTATATATTCTCAGCAGGAGTCTGCTACACATCCAGCTAGTATCAAGAGCTTTTTTGACTAGTTAGGAGAGGTAAAGGCACGGCACTATATTGGTTCGGGTGATATTTGGAGTGCTGATAAAAAAGGCTTTACTATTGGAATAGCAAAGAAGGAAAAGGTAATTGAGTCTGTCATCAACAGAGGTGAAATCCACAGGTGCGACATCCGGGAAATTGAGAATGGGTAACTCTCATTGAGGGAGGTTCACCTGCTGGGAAGCTACTACCTCCTCTCTATATATCTGTGGGGAAGGCATACCTGATAGGTAATTATAACTATGAGGAGCAAGATATGGCTAGCTTTGGGATTTCTAAAACAGGTTAGACTAATGATGACCTTGGAATACCTTGGTTAAAAGAGGTTTTTGAGTCAGGAACTCAGAGAGGAAACTCAAGAGTCTTGATTCTTGATGGTTACTCCTCTCATTTAACCATGGAATTCATCACATATGCTCAGTCTCACAACATATACCTCCTCTGCTTCCCTAGCCACTCTACTCATATCTTACAACCCTTAGATGTTGGTCTCTTTGGTCGTCTAGCAACATACTATTGTTCTGAGGTTAATGCATGGTCCTAAGCCCATCCATATCAAATACTAAACAAGGGCGATTTTTTTCCTCTCTGTCAAAAGGCACGACAGACAGCACTTACGGAGCTTAATATCAACTCAGCATTTGCTGCTACTGGCATTTATCCTTATCATCATGCATAAGTTCTTGAACTTCTCCAAAAAGTCTCTCCTCCTGCTTCCTTCTCCTCAGATCTTATTCAATTCAGTCCTACATCTAGTGTAGAACCTTCTTCTCCCAGGACCACCTCATCCTCAATCGCTGCTGTCGTAGCTTCTACAAATCCAAAACAAGTATCCCAGTTGAAAACCCTCCTTGAGTGTACAGACAATACCAAGGATGCAAAAAAGAAATGGGACTTGCACTTGGCTTTGCAGCAGGTAGTGCAATGGCAGCTGCTACTCTTGCTCAGGAAACAGTAAGGCAGGTTGCAGTAGCACCAAAGAAGAGCAAATCGGATTGGCGGTATATCAGTAAAGCGAAACTCATTTCTTGTAGTAACCTAGACCAGGCTTGGAAGAAACGCATAGAAAAGGAGGCAAAAGCACAAAAGCAAAGGGAGGCAAAGACTGGATGTCAGATATCTGACTATAGTAGAAGGCCTACTCAGTCTACTGGTCAGGAAAATGAGCAACAGCAACTGTCCTCTCTTCCTCATCTACTTGCTTCTCCAGATAATACTAGCGAGCCTTCTATTCCTACCTCCTCCTCCGCTCCTCAGCCTACCCTTATTGACCAACCTCACCACCCTCTTCTTCAACTTGTAAGTAGTAATGCCACCTACAGCAGAAGCTAAACTATCTTCTCTCCTTATTTCTCTGTTAGTTCACTCTACCTTTAATTCCTGTTTTGCTAGTCTTATCTAATATTACTTATTTAGGTTTTTTTCTCATATTTGTGGTACCTGAGTTGTCCTGGATTTCCTTTTTTATCTTTCTTTTACCTGAAATAGGCATATCTATTATCTCTTAACCAGCCTGCTTTTTTAAATATTTTTATTTTAAGGTTTGTGGTTGGGTTGTTCTTATATTATCTGCTGTTAGGTATCTTGTAGGGTGGTCGGTTACCCTGTTGTGGTCGGTTACCACATAAAAAAGGTTATCTGAATACTGTGACTAGTAGATAAATATAATTTTAGAGTTTAATATAACATTATAGTATAAAGTAACTAGATAGCTGAATGTAGCTTTGTAGTCTTATATTACTTTCAAGCTTAATAGAACTCTAGATAAGTTTATATGTAAAGAATAGTAGGCAAACTATTTTAACTTATGAAAAGAAAATATTAAAGCCTATAATTCTTGATATTAGGAAATAAGTAAGCTTGAAAAATACAGGTAAACTAGAATATTTTATACAGCAGACTTATAAAGTAAGGTAGAGCTACAAAAATATTATTTTGAGCCACAAGGTGTTGTGTTGAGCCACTAAAAAGTTGTGTTGAACCACAAGTTATGTTGAGCTGGTAAGTCATGTTGAGCTGGTAAGTCATGTTGAGCTGGTAAGTCATGTGGAGCTGGGAGGCACTCTCTTGAGAGTGTCCAGGTTGTGAGCCACCAAGCAACCAAGGGTTGTGATGCTTAGTCACAACCTTTGTACAAGTATATGGTATTCCTGGTATGCCTATGTAATCATAGCTGCTATTTATACTAATTTTGATGAGGGTAACAGTCAGAAACCAGGGGGGCAAAATAGGAGAATCTCTGAGGAATTCAGAACTGAAGCGCTTTCCCCTCTCCTGGGCCCTCAGCTACAACACCTACAACTCAAGCTAACGTCAATCACCGGGAAGTGACACAGAACCGGGAAGTAACACACCTGGCAACCATAGGCAACCAGAGTCAAAAAAGAGAACAACAGAATCAATTCTCAACCAATTTGGACCAAACAAGATGATAATA